GCTAGTTTTGGTTTGGTTTTGGGGTTTTTTTGTTTTGTTTTGGTTTTTTTAAGAATTTTATTGTACTCTACAAAGTATTTGAGTTCTACAACAAAATAATGATTTCAAAAGTTCTGATTGTAGAAATTTTGTACAAGTCACCTCAATCACACTCTGCAAGGCAGAGGCTGTAACTGTCCCTTGTGAAGATCACATACATTCACCTTACTGCTCATTTTCCCCACATTTGAATATTGTGCAGACTGGTTTTACCCTTAAGGGTATCCAGGGATGTGGTTTTGTGTTACCAAGCAAACGCAACAGTGAGGTAGAGGGAGATCTTGCACAAGCACCCATGCAAACATCCACGGGTGACTGAAGGCGCCTGCGCAACTCCCGCTCACTTCAAGGCTAAAGGAACGCAGTTCTGGGAAACCTTTCTGTCCCCGTGTGTTTGAGCAGGTATTTATGGATGCGCTGAGCGGGCAGCCCGGCCCAGCAAAGCAGGGCAGTTGATACAGGGTGTACAAAACCTTCTTCCAGAATGGCTACACGGCTCCTCCAAATCTTGTCTGTAAGCTGAAGGAAGTTCCCGTACTCCTTATTTCTGATATGGACTCCCCATACAGAAACCACGCATTGGGTTTTATTGTGAAATAGGAACACTTTGCTTGCTTCACCTGAAGTTCCCACACCTTTGCATGCCTTTAGAGATTTGATTATGCCCTTTGTAGACAACCCTGCCGATCAAGGTCTGTAGCACTCGGAGATCAGTAGCAGCCCCAGGCCCATTAGAACCGTGTCAGCCAAGTGTGGGAAAGCGATAGAAATCCTAACTGCCTGCCAGTGTCTGTTCTTTGTGCCCATTAAAATCAGTATTAATAGGCCAATTGAATACTGTAGGGGAAGTTAAACACTGACCACTTCATTTTCTTAATAACGTATCTGCAATTTTCCTTAATCAGTTTATGAGAGGGAAATACAGAAAACAGCAAGCAGCATTTAGCTGGTCAGACGCAAACATCTATACCTGAGAACTTGCGTGCCACAAGACACACTGCTTAACACAAACACGATGTCCTAGACACAGAATAGTAATTTTGTGCACTGACCAAATGAGCGCAAGGGTCTTAATCTCCCATTTTTTTCCTGAACAGATTTTCTAAATTCAATTCCTAACTTTCTCTTCTCTACTACCACAGCTGAACTCGGAGTCTCTGCTGAGCACCTATCTTTAGCTGGGTGGTCTAACTGCTAACAAACTAAGGGACAGAATACCTAATTCTCCCTAGAAAATGTGATTCCAAAACCTAGATATGTATGTACAAATTTAAGACATTATTAGAAATCATAAGAAGCCAGAAACAGTTCCTAAGAAGCTTTTAGCTCCAAAAATACTGAGATTTTCCAGAGTGCAAGCAAATCACTTAACTGACATTCACAGACTCCAAAACCAAATCAACTTCACTCTTTGGTATTTTCTTCCAGTGATACTTACTCAATTGAGTGGTCTCAGGCAAAAGAAAAATACTTTTCACATGATGTTTTGAAAAAGACTGTTCTTGCTTTTGCTAGCCTGCAGTTTCTCAAGTCTCTCTGTAAATACATTTTTCCTCCTCTCAAAGATGTATGACTCTATTGTTAAAAAGAAGACTGGATTCAAAACAAGCTGTGAAGTGCCCTCTTGCCTAAAAATTCAAACTTCAGTTTTACATCCACTGAAAACAAAATATATAGTTTACCTAATTCCTAAAAAAAAAACCCTGCTTCTTTTTATACAGCACTTACCTTTAAGTCTTGCAAAGTGCTTACAAGAACTGCAGCAAGAAATACATACGAGATTTCATTCTTATAACAGAAAACGCATACTGACATACCCATTATAGCTTTTGTTGTTGATCCTGATGGCAGTGAGACAGAGATGGCTGGTATTCCAAAGGACTATTTCGAGCAGACCGTTTAAAAATAACCTAAACTCTGTCATACCCTTAACGCCTTGCAAATACTGGACAGAGACAGGAGTCATATGTCAGTACCATGATTTTGCCTGTGCTCCTGCAGCTTAGGGTTGCAGAGAGAAACTGAGAAACGGCCTTTCTGCCATTATGCAGGTTTAACGTTTCCGTTGTGAAAGCAGCAGTAAAGTTCAGCCTAAAAAAATTAACTTCTATTTTTTTGAGTGGCTTCCACCTTGAAATTAGTCATAAGTAAGATATTATAGAACTAATAATGTCAACTTGCTTCCAATACAAATCTACCAAGTACAAACTTCGGTTAGAAAAAAAAAAGGCAGTTCAACGTGTTGTAAGTGGAGCTACCCATGAACTCCAAGAATATTCAACCACGAGTCTCTGATACAGCTGCCAGCTTATTGTGAGCGATAAGCACGTGGGAGAACATACCTGCCATTCCTTACACTCTGCATCCCTTTCAGGTCTTCAGTGTAACCTCTCTAGGATCTCTGATTTCACAGATTTCCTCTCTTACTTTCATCTGAAAATTCATTACATTCACGTAAATGACAGTGCTATTCAAAATACAGAATTTCTTTAAGAAAGCATCATGAATGTGGCAAATATAAACCATTCAAAAAATGTCTTTGACATATAACAAAACACTGTTTCTGTTTATGGCAAATTATTTTATTTTGTAGAAGAAATACTTTCAAATAATACAAAAATGACACAATCATACAGAACTGTGACAAAAACAAGAGAGATGAATACTGAATACGATAACTCATTACCACATCAAGACAGAACTCATTACAGCAGTCAGAATGACAGACCCACAAGATACGCCAACGATGTCTCACAGCGGTCACTATTTAAAAACACCAACTGAACCCCTGGACAGCGAGACCACCAGACCCTGCCCCTTTGCTAATACAGTCACAGAGCAACTGAGGGTGGAAGGGAGGTCCCTACCCCAACCCCTGCTCAAAGAGGGCCTTATGTGATCAGGACGCTCTAGGCTACGTCCAGTCAAGTCCTCAACCCCTCCATGGACAAAGAGGTCCACCTCTCTGGGCAACCTCTTCCAGTATCTGACCACCTTCATAAGAACACGGTGTCCTCTGTTCTTACTATACGGCAAGGACTTCTGGTGTCACTGCATGGCAACTTTTGATAAACGCTATTATGTAAGGGCCTCCACTGGAAATGAGATGCGAAATTCTGACTAACTGGTCTTTTCAAGTAACGAGCACTGAAAAGCTTGCTGTCCCTAGACTTTTACCCAAACACTAAAAATTTCTTACATGATTTGGTTTTTATCTGCATAGTTTCTGAATCTGTCTAGTTGCGCCCAAGGAACCCAATACACTCCCACCGAAGCTTACTGGCAAAAACAAGACTTCAGGATGGTTAGCATGATAAATGCTAAATATACTTTAATTTCACATATATTGCTATATGATTGAATACCTTGATGCCTATAATGATTATAGGTCATACTACCTTAAAATTAAATGTCAGTGTTAATCATCTTCATTGATTAATGACTGGGGTTTACAATCTTTTTTCCCCCGTTACTTTTTGCCTCAGGTTGGACAAGTAAAAGCAATTCAGTTTCACTTTCAGGTTTTCCTGGTCTTTGACAAGGCAAGGGAATATAAGCTCTTGAAACTCACAAAGAACACTTACTCACCAAATATTTGAAAAATATTCTGATTGGTTCTGATAAGTCTATTTAGTTTTTGGCTGCTGTTGTTTTGATTTCCTGACATATAAAAATCTGGAACCAATCTGACCTTGAATTAAGAGACAGCATGATCTTACTTCTAGGAGACTCCAGCCATTTGCAAAGTCAGTCTTGTGTTGGGCACCTCTCTTTGTAGGTAATGTATACTTAGAAAAATATGAGAAACTATTATAGTAGCTTAGTAAAGAAGTATTTTTACATACTTGCAGGATGCAAGGACACAAAACTGGCATTCTCGGGAATTTAGGGTGACAGTCTTTCATTAAAATGTACGGTCACAACTAAAATTATTTCTTACCAGATTTTAGCTGGTCCAACTAGCAATCAAGAGAGCTGCACCTTCGAGAATTATATACCTTCCTCCTGGAAAGTGTCACTGTTCAACAGAACTTGCGTGCAGTAACCTCAAAGCACGTCCTTTAGGATGAACATGTGTTTAAGCACCCTCACTTAATGCAGCCACGTTCTGAAATCAGCACATATGTACTTTCCTGAATCAGATCAGAAACTTTAAAACTGTAGAAATTACTACAATATTCCTCTAGCGGTCTTTCCACACAGCTAGCTCACATTGCTTTTTTTAACTCCCTTTTCATTCAACAGCAAAACAAAGACTTGTCACCCTCTTCCTTCCTCCGTTTAAACTGAGAATCTAGTTAAGAATATGAAGATACTTTAGACACAACTGAAATGAAAACAATCTATTAGTGCACAGTAAGAACATGCAAATGAATTCTGCAATGTTTAACATCACTGCTAATAGTGTTAAACACATTGCAGGTGATAATATTTTGCTATAACACAGACAGTGCTAAAGGATACAATGTACATAATAAGCTACAGATAATAAAGCTGAAAAAAGTGACAATTTTAGAACATAGTATTTTCATTTCAGGTATCAGAAACAAAACCAGCTCAATGGTTCCATTCTACTGTATGACAAATACTGAAGAACAAAATTTCAGTCTTAAAATACATCTTAAAGTAGGTATTTTCCTTCAAGGAAAAAAGGCACTATAAATAAATTACACTACAGTGAATTTGCCTGAACTCACTTTGTTTCTGTCTTCCAGCCTTTAAGTCAAATAAAACAGCATAAAAACTGTACACGCTCTTAAGAGGATAGTCGATCTTTTATAAAATAAGTTGTCTTCAGAGATGTCAGTTTCACAACAAGGAAAAACCAAGCCTTGTTGCAGTCGCTATTATAAAATATATATGTATATATATTTATATATATGTTTTTGTTTACTTTTACTTTTTTTACTTTTTTTATTTTTTACAAAACGTGTATATTAGCTTTTGCACAATTTTTTTTAAAAGAAACTTGGCTAATCTAATAACTTCATTAAAATAAAAGCGATAAATACTTCATGTTTACAATGCAACATGTCATACATCATCAGCTGGCAGAGGAGGTATGTTAATCCTTGGTCTTGTAAAAAAAGCTATCTTCTCCCTGTGATCAAAATAACATAAAAGGGAAGTCAATCAAATATATGGCTACATTTCCCCCACACACCCCAAGAACATAGTTTCTTTACTCTGTTTAGTGGTTAGTATTTGTTACATACTGAACGGATGGTTTATTTGAGTACAAAAAACTTCTGAAAACTATTAAACCTCACTGTATACTTTTGGCAACATTCTGTTGAACAGTTACTATTTTTGAAAATTTAGGTGGAAGCTTTATACAACTCATTGAACATCAGTCATAGCTGACTGTAAAAAGGTTTCACAGGACAAACCCTGCATAAGCCCCTTCTAGTGCAAAGTTCACCCTTGTACATTTTGCAATGATGCCTACAAAAAAAGGAAAAAAAAAGACAGCAGAGTCATCTTCTTGCTTCTTTATTGAACAAAAAGTACATGTCATAAAGTAAGTGTCATAAGAAATGGATGTGTGCATAAAAAGGGCAAGAATTTAAGCAAGGAAGACAGCCTTTGCTTCATTTTCTACATCTTGTTTTATTCAATTCCCTGTATCTTTTTATATCTCAGTAGACAAAGCATAAACCCCCCTCTCTTCCTACCAGAAAAATAAGATGTAAAAACAACCCTAAAATTTCTATTCCCCTTACTTCCTCCCCGCCTTTGTGAGAAAGGCCTTTCCAATATAATTCAAGCAAAAGAATTACATTAAAGGACAGACAGCTTTACTATTTCACTTAAGTATTCCCTGCAAAAAAGTTCTAAAAATCTAAACACAGGATGAAATAGTATAATGTAACATTGTAGCTCAGCTGCCCTTCACACCTATGCTGCACTAACGTTTTCTTATTCTTACTGTTACTCTCCCAATAAAAATTATGAAAATTGTAATGCTGAAGTAATAAAGTCTTCCTGTGAAATGCATATTGTTTATCAATGCTACTTGTAACAAAATAAACTGTTAGTAAAAAAATAAAGCTAAGAGACGACACATACCATGTGAACACAGATGAAATAGGAAAAAAAGTCCAAAGAAAAGGCTTCTTGAGAGAAAGCTGGAATATTAGTAATAACTATGAGTAATTCTCATAGTAAGGAGTATGAATAATTCTTAGGGAGAGAGTGTTACTAGTAATGTGTAGAGAGTGTTACTAGTAACGTGTATGTATTACATTAAACAAACTATTTATGCCCACAGGCTTGCATTGAAGAACTGACAAATCATTTTAACTTAATAGTGACTAGGTTAAGTTGAAAGAATCACCTAAACTATGTTAGCACTTGAAGATTTTATTTTTTTTTTTAAAGATTTCATGTGTTTTAGAATTGTAACACTGCAATTTTACCTTAGCTTTGGCTCTTTGCACTACAAATAATTCAAAGGAAACTCATGTGTCCAAATCAATATACTGTTAAAAATCACTGGCTATACAGAAGACACACAGAATTTAAGCTAAACGCTTCAGAGAGCTTCAACCTCTCTAATGAACTGTTGCTATGCCACTTCAGCACGCATTACCACTTACCTAAAAGTCTGCACCTGAATGGGCTCCTTCTGATTTTGCCCACGCAACTGGTATATTTCTTTTGATGCTTTCTTTAGCATCTTTTCAGCTGCTTGCTCTTGGTGATGTTCAAATTTGGTCTGTCTGGTCTGAAAACAAGAATATAATGCTTAAAATGGTCATGTGAATAAAAAATAAATACATACATTAAAAATAAATAAGTGAAATTAGCATAAATAAATTAAAAAAAAAAGAATACTCAGGTTAAAAGAACAGGTTTTTTTCCCCACTCACCACAGCAAAACAACACAAGTACATTGTCTGAAACAGCTGATCATCTAAGAACTATAAATTCAAAAGACTGACAGCATTGTTTCATTTCTTAATGATCTTCAGACATATATGGATTAAATTCATGCAACTGACTGCACATAGGTCTGTCAAACAAGACCTTAAAATACATTTAGGCTCACTCTTTGTCTCTGATAATCCAACAACAGTTTTGTTTATTGTGCCATTTTTGCCACTTTTTGCCTATGATTTCTTTCTCCAAGAATGGGGGGCGGGGGGGGGAATCACATACTTAGGGAATATTCCAAATATTTGTAAAGAATGAATTATCAAATCAGCAAAATTTCTTTCAAAGATCAGAAGGAAATTATTACAGTTCCAAAAATAAGTATCTAAAAATAAAAACCAACCAAACCAAACCAACAACAAAAACCACCCCAATCCAAACCAAAAAGTGCTATTAGCAAATAGTGCCATTCTCCAGCAACCGTCCTCAAATAAATACAGAGTTTGGTAATAATCAACACGATAATTTTTATTGTGCGAACTTCAAGGATATAGCAGCAATATTCATTGTTTGAAATTCTTTAAAAACAACTCTTCAGTCAACTTGTCAAAATCAAGAAATTTTGAAACCAGCAGTTTCTGAACATGTTGAGTGCTCATCTCACATTACCATACCTGCCTTTCTGCTTCCTTCAACAAGTTTCGGAATCGCTCATCCCGAAGGACCCAGTGGGGTAGATCTGTCTGCCCTCTGAGTTGGGCATCTTCCAGACGCTGTCTCAACTCTCTTAGAACACATATCTCCTCGTTCAGCTGTCTCTGTCTAGTTCTGGATGCCTGGAGATCCAGCTCCAGGTCTAAGGACGTCCTTGCCATAAGCTCAGCCAAAGATGATCTGCAGGACTGCTGAGTTATTAGGATTCAAATAAAACGCACAATATATTACTCTCAACATGGTATACTGGTCTATCTTTAGCTATAGAGAGCATACACTTTCTGTACTTACTTCACACACAAAGTCTTTCTTGACACAAAGTTTTGGAGACATTATTTATATTCTGCAGCGAAAGGCTCACTAGCTGTAGGGCTTTTCTGTACCATACATAAAGTTTTTCAATTAATGCTTTCTACTACGTCCTTTTACAGTCTCCTTTTGGCTTATAAATATTTAAGCTGATGGACTAAGTTTTCATGTTATGATGATAATAAAAGGGATGCAACATGAAAAACTCATAATGGAGTCAGTCATGACATCAAAAAATACAGGGAATCTTGCTCAGTACAGTAAAGAGCTTTAATCAATATTGGTTTTAAGATATATTCTGAGTCAAAATGGGAGGCATGGCTGTTTACTTGCCTGCACCAGCAAGAAATTAACTTCTGCTGACCAGGCTAAACTGTATGCAATTTATATACATGGCATTAACGCCGTACCTGCCCTTCTCTGCCCACTTGTTCTGCAGCATGCACGGTGGCATGGGGGCAAAAGGAGAGCTCAACCTATTCATTTGTGAATAGCTGGGCCTCAAACTCTACGGTTTGCTAGGCTGCATGGGAGGGGAGGGAGCTGGACGTTTTACTGTCACATTCACACACACTTTTCTGGGCCTGCACCCTGCATCATAAACTAGATTTTAAACATTTAATAACGTTTATATCTAGATCAATACAAATCCAGTCCCCATTAAACTAGTTTTTGTATGCTACACTTTTTTTTTCATCTTCAATAATTGTTCAAAATTCTATTTCACTTCTCTGTGTCTACCTTTTGGCTTAAAAACCCCAAACCCAAAACACGCACCCCTCCCTCAATTGCATTACAGAAGCCTTAAACATTGTATAAAAACATCAGAATGTACCTGTAGACATCTAAAGCTTAGGTATAAAAGTACCAGTGTTCTAGCAACTTAGTGAAAAGTTCAAAACAGTTTCCTAGGTATACCTGCTTATATCGTAGAGTACGCCTCTCCAATGTATTCCGGACAAAAGGGGACTTCCTTGGCAGAGTTGAACTGTCACTGTCACTGCGATACAGCTGATTAGAAAAGACATTGAAAATACAGGTTGCTAACAAGGTCGTCTACATTAAGAAATCTGAATTATTTCTTTTTTGCTTTTGAGATTTATTTTTTTAAAATGCACTGAAACTGTCTTGTTTTAAGCAATTGATGTTTTCCAGCTTTAGTTATTTATAAAAATACAGTGCTCATACTGTATAGTTACAATAATTCAAGAAAACTTCAAAACCAACAATGTTTTACAGCTAAGTTTCATCAAGCATTCCACTAAATATCCAAGACAATGTAAGCTATAAAAAGGGGGAGGGGGGAGTTAAAGGCAATAATATTTCTTCCTAAAGCATTTACTGTGATGGGCACAAACAATAGTCTCCTCCTTTTTTCTCCCCCCTCTGATTTTACGTAAATGCAGATTAAGTGAGGGTGTTTAACAGTCTTCTCCTTTTTGCACCATATTTATTCTGGTGTGTGAGGGTGTTTTACTCTCAGTCCCTGTATCATAAACAGATACGGAATCCAGAAATCAAACTGAAAAATTTGAAGGGGCCCATAAATGCACTGCGTGCAATGTAAATAACAAAGCAAAACCCAGAAGATCCTTGGTTTAGGAAAAAGCATAAAAGTTAAAAATCATTACTGCATTTTCAAACTCAAGCTCTCAAAAGCTTAGGACAGAGTATACTTAAAGCTATGTGCATTCAACCAATATTGCAAAATCAATACCCAGGTATTGATCTGCAATACCGTGAGCCAACTATTCATAAGCCTTTTGCCACTGAACACAGTAATCAGCTAACGTAAGCTTGAAAACTGTTGTGCTGATCCTCAATTACTTGCACCAGCGCACCCAGGAATCCTAAGTCCCACTGCAACAGGCATCCTATGGCTGACATTCATGACAGCAACCAGTCATAAGAATATTTATGCAGTAACCCTAAGATTATGCAGATTTCTTTCCCAAACTTTTAGGTACCTGCAAGTTAAACATGGCTTCTAAGCTGTTTATACACCTCCTTAGATAGCACTGTACCTCTGTAAAAGCCATCACTCTAGCCTAACATCTAAGGTTGCCAGAGAAAAGAGTTTAATATCTAATTTGTCACAGATTCTTAAATTTTAAATGAAATAAACTCAGGTTTAAACTCTTAAAAATAACCAGGGGACCTCTCCCCCACTGCAATGTTTAAATTCAATGACAGATTATTCATTAGTATTAAAAAGTAGTATATGTTTCTTTATGTGTAATAAAGTCTTACGAAGAAATTATAAAAAAAAGTACAAAATACTTGTGTGGAGGCCCCCCCTCTTCTTTTCAAGCCTTACTCACTCTGCAAACATATTGACTTCGTGCTCCAGGCGAGAAGGTCTGGGAACGAACAATAGTGCTACTGCGAACAAAAGCAGAACCCCGTGGCCTGCGGCTCGTTCTCTCTTTTGGAAGAATAGCAACTTCTTCAGGAAACAGATCTTCAGTGTTAGTTTCCTTATCCACCTAAAATTTCAATGAAGGAAAAATTTTTATTTTTTCCTTATTTTCTCTCTCTCACCAAAAACAATTGGACACTTCAACAATATCAAAAGTAAACAATTTGCCTTGCTAGCTAGGTTCAAGTTTTAATGAGCACTGAGAATAGAGGACAAATCACCTATTTTTTAAAGAGTTTTACAACTAGGTCATTCAAAATTATAAGATTACCTTTCAGAAGCCTTTGCTGGAACATTGACAATTATGAGATGGAGTTATAACATGAATCATAGCTGCAGAGCACAAGAACTGCATTCAGCATTGGCAACTGGGCATTAACCAAGCTACCACCTGATCTCCAGCCTTCAACAGGAGAAAACTGAGTCACCTTTCAATAAGCAAGGTGACTCTGAGGCAAGCAACCACTTAAAACCGGGGGGAAGTCAAATGAAGAGAAGCAACTCAACAAAAGGGAACTGAAAGACTGTTGAAACAATGATATAAGACCACTAAGATATTCAGAAATACAAAAAACATATGCTACTCTAGCAAAGCTTCTTAACTTTAAGATAACTCACTCCTCAATAGGAGGTATCAGCTTCCCTAAAGGCAACACAAACGGCTATGTTCCTCTACTTCAATGGAAGTGTGCTGATTTCAGCTTGTTCAGGATTGTTTTCAATGTCTCATATCTCAAATACAAAAGATTTTAAATACATCAGTTTCAGCACAATTGTTCTGAAAATTTCAGCGGTACATATTAACACTGAAACAGCAATGCAGGTCTTAAAACATTAAGCTTGCTTCTTCACAACTTCTTCAGATTCTTATTTCTAAGAGCACTGGAATTTGATCATGATCTTTTCTGTTACAATTTCAGGTCAACACAGACATTGTGTGAATTTACAGATTAGAGAAAGGCCACAGTAAAAATAGCTTGCCTTTTGATATGAAAAACCAATTCTGTCCAGAAATAGCCAGTAAGCAAAGAAAAAAAAACACCCCAGCCCTAAAGAAGGCATTTTTAACAACTCAAAAGGCACATTGCTGTCATGAAGGCAGTGCTCATACATGGTTGTTAATGTCATTTCTGATTCTTTTCTCTCCTGGTCAATTCGGACTCAAACTCAAGGAGCAGCAGTAACACACTCTGTGTGCACCAGGCAGCGTGGCAGTTTCCATACTGCGCTGTCTTCTCTCGTTACCTTTAGTGGCGGAGGCTGCACTTTCCCAGAACTGTACTGGCCCGCCTGAGTTGCAAACATGTGTCCAGCTAACGAATCCCCGCAAAATGGCTCTGGATAAGGAGGACTAGTCTGGGTGCAATTACTGCATCCACTGTCAACAGATTCTGCTTGCCAACTCCTAAAGTCAGAACATCACAAGAATTTTGTAGGTATTAAAAAAACCTATGCAATTATGTGTCACATTTATTATCATTATTCATGTCAGTTTATCATTTTAGACTATTATTTCTCCAATAAAAATACAGAATTTTCAAAGGGAGAACATATCTCACTT